GCCAACTCGGTCCGATTTCATACTCGGGTGTCTCGTTCGTTACAGAAGCTCGAACTTAAAAAAAAAAAAAAAAAAAAAAAGTTAGAAGATCTAGTAGTAGTGGAGCTCAGGATAAAGGAGGCTAGATCAATTGTTCAAAGTTCATCGAGATTCACAGATTCACGTCTGGTTGTGGACGACCGACAAACATTCGCAAACGCAGGCAAACAAAGCTAGAAAGTGATACGCATTAGAAACGCGTGATTGAAATGCCGCCGTAGCTAGAATAGAGCCGAATGTATTCCCTAGGAATCTGTCGAAACTTGTACAATGCGGTCGTCACGCGAAACTATGCAATCTTATGCAACGCTATGCAACCTGGAAAGTCGTGCGCGCGTGCTGCACGTATTTATCGCACGGTCCACGTGAAATCTCCTCGTGACCTAGTGAGTATATTGATACATATCCATGTTTATAGTGATTTCATAGTGAAAATGTATAGTAACCTAAACCTAACTAACCTAAACCTTTTGGTAGAAATTCCTCGAGGATGAACTAACGATAGTCAAGACGAAGCTATTTCTAATAAATAAAAATAAAATTCGTTATATCATTTCTTTACTTGTTAAATGTAACATGAGATAGAAATTTTTAAAATAGAATTGCAAAACCAGTCATTATTTTCACTGGTGTGTGTAGTTCTGGTGTCATCAACGACCGCCGTGCGTAGAAAATTCTCTCGATCGTTGGTGGGAGGGAAACGACAATAGAGGGAGGCACTTGATATTTTATGGTTCAGCGAATTTCTCTATAAAGGACGCGTGGGATAGGCTGTAGAGAACAGGATATAGAATTTTATGGGGGTGTTACGTGGGTGGAATGGCCAACCTTTTACATATTTGCAAAAATATATATATATATATACACATGCTTTTTGCAAATATGTAAAAGGTATGTATATACGCAAAGAAACAGAGAGAAATATCATCTTGAATTTCGACGTAAGTGGCGTTATCGTAATCGTAATGTGACCTTTGAACTAGCGCCATCTTGTGATCTCTGTGGCGATACACTTGTTGAAATTTCCAAAGCTTTCGAGCCGCCTTGGATTAGGTTATGTTTGGTTCAACGAGCAATTTTTTTTTGAAACTGGTTTAGGTTAGGTTTTGACACTTGTTACATTATGCCTGCAATGACCTCTTTGATGCTCTGTTTGTAGCGAAAATTCTGGAATATAGAAAAATTCCTATAACGAAAATTACATTGTGGAAGTTGAATATATTATTATATTGTATAATTAATAATGAAAATAAAGATCGAGATCGAACGATCGAAACACATGTTGATGCGCGTGAAAACAATAATTTGAAAAGGCTTTTATTCTGTAATTGGCAATTAAAAGAATCAGCTCGAAAAATTTTTGACTGCGTGAAAACGCGGCTTGCAGATCGCGGCCCTCTCGTCTATGGTAATTTAAAGCCTGTGCAAGCTTTAATACCGAAGGAAAATCGATCTCCGAGTCCACGGTTCCCACCGTATCTCCACCTTGGCCGACATATTGGCCAGTATGTTACGAAATAACACCGCCGGCTGCTCTAACGTGTCACTAACGTTTCAAGTGCATACGCGAGAAAAAAAGGAATCTCGTCGAGTTGCGTGCCGTTAATTCACTGAGCCATTGCCTCGCGAGCGATGTGTTTATTCTGTGAAAGAGGGGCAACGGTCTGGTGGATAATTTACTGGGAAGCCAAATGTACAAATTCTGTTGTACAACAAAATAATTGTGTACAAACTATACAATATTGGTCGAATATAAATAAACGATATAAACTGATTTATCAATGAAATGTACAAAATAATAATATACAAACGAATTTGATTGTTTGTTAACGAATAAAATAGATGTAAATATCGTAACAAAATACACAAAATGATTTATCAATAGAATGAACAAAAATGTGATTTATCAATAATATGCAAAGTAATTATATAAAATATACAAATAATTCTATAATAATTATGTAATGTACAAGCGAACAATTTCCCTTCGATAACGATATAAATAATACAAAATAAACTAGAACGCCAAACCTAACCTAACCTAACCTCACTCTCAGATATGTATTGAAGAATAAAGGCATCGAAGGATTGATTGGCATCGTCCTCTCTTTTTCGTCACGTAATCGAGACTCACCTGTTAAGAAGCAGATCGATGGCTCGAGAACTGGTGCGAGTCGACCTCGTCCGGAGGGTTTCCCCGCGTTTTCCATCGGTTTCCTGGGAAAAACTACGGTCACCGGGGCGCATCCATCCATTCGATAACCCTGACCTTTGCTCCTTCGCGTCGAATGCGAGAAGTTTCCAACGAGCATCGTAATTCACGCATCTTCTCACGTGTCTTCGCCTGCTGTTTGAAGTTCGAATCCTCGAGACTCGTATTGGCTGCTGGGTATTCCCTCGATTTGGTTCTTTCCAGGCGTCTCGTTCGTAATTCTACACCGCGGCTGTAAAGCGCGATCAGCTGTTTCCCTCGTCAGCGTTATGCATGAAATTGTATGGAATTTCGGTGGTCGGCGACTTTTTTTTCAATCGATGGTAAAGACGGTAACTGTAACGGCGACATTTCGAAAAAATGTCGCGCGAATATTGCGTCAGCGTTGTTATCGGTGCGAAGAATGAGTCACCGAATGGAATTGCACGTCGAGGCCTTAGAAAAAACGTAGAAAAGGAAAAAAATCATTTCTATGGTTTCCTCGAACAACTGATAAAAGACAATGGTCTTCGTTTGTGTTGAAGTTCCGATAACGGGCAGCAATGAAAGTGAATTAAGCTGTTGAGATCGATCTGACGTCATCGAAACTGACAATGAGTGACTGCAGTTGGATTTGTCGAAAGTAAAAGTCTCTTTGGAAATCACTTGCATCAATTTCTAGTTTATCGACGATAGGAATTACATACGTATACAGAGATTCTTCAATTGTTGTATTCCAATTATGCGTTTGATTGAATGTGAGTGAGGATCAATTGGAAGATGAATGTTTCAATTCTCAAGTTGCCTTGATTTCCAGATATTAAAATTCGAAACATCTTTTTCTTTAGTAAATTCAAAACATTTTAGGATTATTCGGCACCAAAAGAGTTAAATAGCAAACAGTAAATATTAGATTAAATAGTAAATAGTAAATAGAAAATTAGAAAATTAGAAAGTCACTAAAACTATGGAAGTTAAGAAAGAATTTAAAATTACAAGAGAATAGTGAACCTGCTAAAGCCTGCTAAAAGAACAGACAAAGTATAATAGGAAAAAATGAATCACAGATAATTAAACATATGTAATATGTGATCTGTGTGATATATGACTCGTTTGCAAGATGCGGAAGATTATCATTACTTATGTAAAGCTCTCTTATCTTTTGTACATTCTTCTTTCGTACAGCTGGTAGATGTAAATACAGCCTCTGTTTGTTTTACAATATTTAACAAATAAAGACTAACGTATCGCTTGTTGTCACTAGAAAAGAAAGTCATATATTAGTCCAATACTCCTGATTTATGTACCTTTGTTATATTATCTCTGCAAAGATTCGGCTTGCATCTTTTCCACGTTCAATATATGCTTGTTCCCTTTCCTTTTTTTGTTCGAACGAATGCAAAAGATGCTCTTTATTTGCAATTGCATTTCGTTTGAATGATTTAATGCGTTTACAACATCTTATACCAAAAAATAGGCTTTCATGCCTATTCATATGGCCCATGCGGCATCAATCAAAATTGGAACAATTCAATAAGAATTTTATTGTTTGAATAATTTTAACCACAAATGATGTCCCTTCCAGGGAGGCCTTTATATCTGAGAACTTATATTATTTCCCATACGAAGCACACAAAAAATAAAACAAAAAGAAAAATTGTAGACGATCATCTTAAAAGTACTCTTCATATTGTCACTACCTGTATCAACACTCACTACCGGTATTTAAAAAACAAGCTCAGTGTTCTCATTAAAGTTTTTTAATCAATATAAATATATGTTTTTAATCAATGTATTGGTTTCACTATAAAAGTTTTTTTAATACCCTCACAAATAATAATATAGGTTGTATATATAACCTATATCAATAGTCAATGTAACTTAATATAGGTTTTATATATATAACCTATATTATTATTTGTTATATCTATATTGATATAAGTTATATATATTTTTCTAATCAATGTATTGTTTCACTATAAAAGTTGTTTTAATATCCTCGTATAATTATGCAGGTTATGTCGAATGATAAAAAAATATGTAAACCATACGTACGGTCCTCGACAAATTTTTGTTGGTCACTGAGGTCCGGAAGATCTAAAAGGTTGGCACCCATGTCCTAAATAGTTATTGGTGGTGGGAACTCCCTGCACGTCATGTGACTCGGTATATTTAATCGCAATATTTACGGCTGGCACGAACCGTGCCTGTCACATTCGTGTTTCTATCAGAATTAGCAGAGATGTATGTGACGTTATTTATGAATTGGAAATTATCGCTAATAAATTATATCGAATCAGGGCAAATCGTACATTTTGGTGTCAAGTAGTGCGCGTTGCGAAGCGATTAAGCTGAAGTGTCATGGCTGGTTACCTTAGAATCGTTGCTTTAGAAGAATTGTTGTTGCGAGTTCTATTGCTTGAGAGTCGTAAAAGAACGAAACACTGGGAAAAACGTAAATCAAATACATGGTACGGCAGTATTTTAGTGGTCTTTCATTGAAAAGCGAGAAGTTCAAAATGGTTCATTATCTTATGGAAGATCGACCGTTACGACCTTGTTGTTTCTTGAATGTTATTTTCTCCCGCGATAAATGTTCTGAAATGACGTTTCAATGTGATTAATTGCACGTCAAACGTATTACTATTTGGTTTTGTTATAGTTTGTAATACCTATAACACCAAAACGATTATTTCGTTTTTATAGTATATTTCATAGTATTATTTCAGGGTTTCTCAAAGTGTGGGTCGCGTAACTAAATTCGGGGGTTGCAGGAATTTTAGCAAAACTAAAAAATTAGTATAAATATTTACCAAAGAATTGTTTTCGAATAAATTTTCTTTATGATTTATTATATCAGCAAATGTTTTAATTCGTGTTTCTAGTTTATATACCCAGGGTCGCGAAAATATTTGCCCGGATGAAGGGGATCGTTTGAGAAACCCTGGTATAGATCTACACTGCTGAAAATTGAACACATACATGGATTTTTAACATTAATAATATTTCATCGAATGCAAAATACAAAAAAAGCAAAATATGTATTGTTTTGGCTTTCCAAAAAAATTTTATGATTATCCTATTGTTAATTATTATTATTAATTTTATGATTTATTTTGTTACCATCACTATTCTGACAAATATAAATTGTTTTTATAAATTTGTTGTAATTTCGTTAAAAAATATGTAACAATTTATTTATCAGTTGGTATTTTAAAACATGAAGCTTTTGTTTTCACTACCTTCCTACTTTTTTCCCTGATGCTTTAAAGATGCTTTAACATCATGTAGTAAATGGAAAATTCACACGAGTATATAAAAATACTGAAGAATTTTAATTATAACTAAGTTCATCACGATTTTGAAGATTAATGTTTTTGATTTTATTGAATTTTGAACTTTAAACAAAAATTCCAACATTTCGTCATCTAACTTTAATGTTCAAAGTTCAATGAAATTGCAAATCGTTGTAAAGAGGAAATTTCAATCTTCAAAACCATGGTGGATCAAATCAGGAAAAAAAATTTTCAAGAATAAAAGTACTCTTGAATAAAAACATTTTCTCCCTGTAAGGTGTTACGCTGCATGATGTAAAAATATTTAAAAAAAAAAAAAAGAACGGACTTAGAACAAAGTAGAAGTTTCACGCTTTAAATAGGTGCTCACACGATATTCTTTTACGAAGTTGAAACCATTTAAAGTATCGATAATTTTTATTTACGCTATTTATGCTGTACATTAGATGCAAAAGAGACCATTATTACGTTACGATTTCATCAGTAATAATTAGTCGAAGCGTGTGTGCAGGACGATCCAGATGTTGTTCGTGCCCACGCGTTGTCCCGAGGAATCGCTACTCCGCGGAATGACGTCACCGAGGAACCCGGCGCCGCAATTGGTCGGTTAACTGGGGAGGTGAAGCGTCACGGTCACGGTGGTGGGGGAAAGAACGCGCGCTACGCGACGCGACACGACGCTACGGGTACGGTACGGGACGGGACCGAGTGAAAGAGGGGCGGCGAAGCTGTCTCGGCGCTGTGCTATTTTCATCGTCGCGCTACTGCTGGCCCACATTCGATGCGACCGTCACGACGTGAACGTGATATCCGATTTGTCCGCGAGTTCGCTGGGCCACCCGGCTCCCGTGTACCCACGTCTCTACAGTCCAACTATAAAAATTTCAAACGAGTAGAATCCTAGTAACAAAGATTCCCCTCCAGCTCATTCGTCGAGTCGCAGGAATTTGAAGATCGTGATCATTCTGTGCTTTTCTCTCTCTCTCTCTTGTTATACTTACAAGAGAGTGTTTTTATGAACTGCCACGGAATCGTGCCAAGTGAAATCGTGTGCAACGCGTAGTGCTGTTGCGTGTGTGTAAGATGTGACTTCCCGGCGTGCATTCGTGCGCTGTCATCACGCCGTTTTGTCGAAACCCCGCGACCGTGCGACGTGCGGTCTCCCCGCATCTCGCAACTGTAATAACAGATTTCGCGTTTATGTACTCTGCTGCGCGCAGCGAACCAGAGGCTTCCAATATATCCGCTCACCCCGGCCAGGCTCGCTCGTTCGGGTCGTCAAATGACCTTAAGGTACGTATCGTTCCTCGCGGTCGTGCATTCTCTTTCTCTCCTAATTGTCGATTGTGGTGTCACGTGACCAAACATTTTTACCCACGTAACAGTCTTTGGTATCATCAATCGGTACAATCAGTCATGAAAAAGGGTTCGTGCTCCGTGTGATAAAGCTACTTCAAATATCAGTTTTAATAATTCAATTTCACTTTAAACTTCAATTTTGATCATTTAATTTCAAATACCGATACTAATTTCACTGTGAAGAGACATCGAGCTTTTCCACTTTCTAAACATTGTAGTCTCAGGCAGATTTCCAAAAAGTTTCGCTTTTCCTAGTCGCGTTGCGGACGCGCAAACAGGTCGCAGGCATTCTTTGGCATTGCGAACCCCTCATTAGTGTAACCACTGGCGAGCAAGCGCCCATTGTTGTCGAGAGATCCGTGTGTAAATGAGAATTACACCTACGAACGATAATTTATCACGTAAATTATTCACTTCACACGTGGCACTGTTTCAAAACATTTAATCAAATATTATATTAAGTTGTTCAATTATATA